CACTGATCCGGACGATTCTAAATTGCAAACCGGATACGTGTTTATATTAAACGGTGGAGCTGTCAGTTGGAGCAGTTCTAAACAGAGCGTCGTGGCGGGATCTACATGTGAAGCGGGGTACATTGCTGCTTCGGAAGCAGCGAATGAAGGAGTCTGGATGAAGGAGTTCATATCCGATCTAGGTGTCATACCTAGTGCATCGGGTCCAATGAAAATCTTTTGTGACAATACTGGTGCAATTGCCTTAGCAAAGGAATCCAGATTTCACAAGAGAACCAAGCATATCAAGAGAAGCTTCAACTCCATCCGAGATCAAGTCCAGGTGGGAGACATAGAGATTTGCAAGATACATACAAAACCGAATGTTGCAGACCCGTTGACTAAGCCTCTTCCACGAGCAAAAAATGATCAGCACCAAGGCTCCATGGGTGTTAAAATCATTACTGTGTAATCTAGATTATTGACTCTAGTGCAAGTGGGAGACTGAAGGAAATATGCCCTAGAGGCAATAATAAAGTTATTATTTATTTCCTTATTTCATGATAAATGTTTATTATTCATGCTAGAATTGTATTAACCGGAAACATAATACATGTGTGAATACATAGACAAACATAGTGTCACTAGTATGCCTCTACTTGACTAGCTCATTGATCAAAGATGGTTAAGTTTCCTAACCATAGACATGAGTTGTTATTTGATCAATGAGATCACATCATTAGGAGAATGATGTGATTGACTTGACTCATTCCGTTAGCTTAACACTTGATCGTTTGTTTACTGCTATTGCTTTCTTCATGACTTATACATGTTCTTACGACTATGAGATTATGCAACTCCCGAATACCGGAGGAACACTTTGTGTGCTACCAAACGTCACCACATAACTGGGTGATTATAAAGGTGCTCTACAGGTGTCTCCGATGGTACTTGTTGAGTTGGCATAGATCAAGATTAGGATTTGTCACTCTGATTGTCGAAGAGGTATCTCTGGGCCCTCTCGGTCATACACATCACTATAAGCCTTGCAAGCATGATAACTAATGAGTTAGTTACATGATGATGTATTACGGAATGAGTAAAGAGACTCGCCGGTAACGAGATTGAACTAGGTATTGGGATACAGACGATCAAATTTCGGGTAAGTAACATACCGATGACAAAGAGAACAACGTATAGTGTTATGCGGTTTGACCGATAAAGATCTTCGTAGAATATGTAGGAACCAATATGAGCATCCAGGTTCCGCTATTGGTTATTGACCGGAGACGTGTCTCGGTCATGTCTACATAGTTCTCGAATCCGTAGGATCCGCACGCTTAAAGTTCTGTGACGATCGGTTTTATAAGTTTATATATTTTGATGTACCAAAGGTGGTTCGGAGTCCCGGATGTGATCACGAACATGACGAGGAGTCTCGAAATGGTCGAGACATAAAGATTTATATATTGGAAGCCTATATTTGGATACCGGAAATGTTCCGGGTGAAATCGGGATTTTATCGGAGTACCGGGGGTTACCGGAAACCCCCTGGGGGTTTAATGGGCCAAGATGGGCCTTAGTGGAAGAGAGGAGGGGCTGCCAGGGCAGGCCGCGCCTCCCCTCTCCCTCTAGTCTGAATTGGACAAGGAGGGGGGAGGGCGCCCCCCTTTCCTTCCTCTCCCCCTCCTCCTCCCCCTTCTCCTATTCCAACTAGGAAAGAAGGGAGTCCTACTCCCGGTGGAAGTAGGGCTCCTCCTGGCGCGCCTCCTCCTGGACGGCCGCCTCTCCCCCCTTGCTCCTTTATATACGGTGGCAGGAGGGCACCTCTAGACACACAAGTTGATCGTAGAGATCTCTCCAGCCGTGTGCGGTGCCCCCTTCCACCATAATCCACCTCGGTCATACTGTAGCGGTGTTTAGGTGAAAGCATGCTACGGTAGCTTCATCAACATCGTCACCACGCCGCCGTGCTGACGAAACTCTTCCCCGAGCTCTACTGGATCGTGAGTTCGCGGGACGTCACCGAGCTGAACGTGTGCTGAACGCGGAGGTGCCGTACGTTAGGTACTGAGGATCGGTCGATCGTGAAGACGTACGACTACATCAACCGTGTTATCATAACGCTTCCGCTTAACGGTCTACGAGGGTACGTGGATGACACTCTCCCCTCTCGTTGCTATGCATCACCATGATCCTGCGTGTGCGTAGGAATTTTTTTTGAAATTACTACATTCCCCAACAGGCCGTCCTCGACCACATCGAGACCGGCAACACGCCGCGCCTCGAGTACCCGGCGCGACCATCCTTCTCTCGCCGCCGGGGCAGCTCATGGATGTCGCGGCAAATGGAGGCGGTGACTTCCTCATCGCCGGGCTCCGGTTCACGCTCCTACGGGTCGCCGGCGCTCCGCCCCGTCAAGCCGGAGCCACAGGAGACACCGCTTGGGCGCCGCACCCGCAACGACGCCCTCGTCATCAACCAGGGTGGTCGCCCGTCCCCGCGTTCCCTCCGCCTAGTCCGGCCGAAGACCGATCCGGGGCTGCTCCCCGTGAAGCCGGAGCACGCGGAGATGGGCGCCGTCGACGAGACCGCCCTCAAGTGGGTGAAGGCGGATTACGTCCGGGAGCAGGTGGCGCGCCAGCGCCGGGCCTACGAGGAGAAGGCCCGGCATCGCGGACGCGAGGAGGGCGTCGTCGTCGTCCTCGACAGTGACGAGGAGGACGAGCCCGGGCCATCCAACCCCCCGCGCGTCGGCGACCCTGGTCAGGAGTGCAGTAGGGACGGCGGCAACTCCGGCGGGACGCAGGGCGGCGACGGCGGCGACGACGGCGGCGACTACACCCAGTTCTACAGGCTCCTCGGCATGTAGAAGGCGGGCGGCGGCCGCAGCGTAGTAGGGCTAGGCGTAGTTTGTATGTTTTTCTGTTTTTTATACAAATTTGAATGAGAAATCTCCGAGTTTGTGTCAAATTCGTATCAGATCGTCGAGTTTGCGCGATTTTGGAGGCGACCTGGGGTGACGATTGGGAATGCAATCGTCCTCACGCCGAAAATAAACGTCGATTCGGTCTCAGATGGCGCTTTTTCAGCATCGGCCGAACGGCTGGAGATGCTCTTAGTCTTAGGTGTAGCGTTGGTCTATCTCTTGTGCCCCGGGTTATACCCTAAAAGAAAAGTGCACCTGGTTATGAATTTAGGATAATTTTTTTCCTTTCGTCTTCCCCGTCCCCGTCAAAATCCATCTCTTCCCACAGCGACTTTTCCTCTGCGCCGTCCCGTTGAGAAATTTCCTCTTCTTCCCCGGTGCCCTAGCTCCAAGCTGCCGCCTTGCCGTGGCACCGCCCACGCCTCACACCCCTAAGCTCCCAACCCCACCCCTGTCACGCGCGTCGCCGCCTCCAACCTTATCGCGGCACCGCGGCCCTGCCGTATCCCCCAGCCGCCGCCGCCGACGCCGCCATCTTCGTCATTAGTTTGAAGGTACGAGCTTCTTGTTATCCAGGGAATTGCTCCCACCCTAAGTTAGCCCGCACGAATTTTGGGCGCGACAGCCGACGCACCATCTAGATCCGGCACTGGAAACTAGGTTTGTGATGCGATATGCCGGTCCCCAAGGATGGAGATTGTGTCGCGGGGGATGTAAATACTGCTTCTTTTGTTTGGCGTCTTCGATGGGTGTGACTGAAGCTGTGCGTGTGAGCAATTCTGCCCACACGCCTGGACTTGTGTGGTCAATCTGGCGCTTTTCTGAATCCAGGTCGAGATCCTTCAGTTTGCCAAACAAAATTTTATGGCTGGATGAGGTAGTGAGCTGATATGCGAGGTCAAACTGTCGTCTTTTGCTTGTTCTTCTGACCTAGATCAGTGGAGTTTCTTCAAGTCATATATATAAGCGTGCTGAAAAGGGCTAGGTCAATTTAGCGCACCTGTTTGCTTATTTGGTTATGTGTTTGTGAATTTGGCATGTTGCTTTATGTGGTGGGCTGATGCGCTATAATTATCACCATCAACTCTTACCACTTATAGATGCAAAGCCAATAGATTTCACTTCACATGGAGCTGCTGCAAGTCCCATATGCTAGGATGCCTTTTTTTTTCCTTTCTATGGATATTTGGCCTTATTCGCTCAGCATTGTAGCTTCTCTTGTTATTCTGTACATACTATAAATTCAAGCCTTATCTTTCCAGTTGCCTAACAGTCCTTCTACCATTGTAAAGCTAGGACATCTTTGCATCCATAAACTGACAGAATTATGGTTGCGTACTTATTTTGTACTCCGTCCGGAAATACTTGTCATCAAAATGAATAAAAGGGGATGTATCTAGATGTATTTTAGTTCTAGATACATCCATTTTTATCCATATTGATGACAAGTATTTTCTGACGGAGGGAGTACCATTCAGATCTCTATGCAATTATGATTGGTTAAGTTTTATGCAGTTTTACCTTCCCGTTGTAAAGCTATGTTATGATGTTAAGTCATTTATCACCACTATGCCCTCTGCATATTTCATCTTTAAGTGCTTGCTTTCACTATTCGTTCAAATTACTATGACTAATTCTTGCACTGGACTTGCACTCCAAACTCCAAGTACTTCCCGATTGATACTCTGTTTATGCAGTGTTACATGCACCATGTTTCTTTGTGCCAATTACATAGTGGTAGTGTTTCATCTGAATGAAATACAGTAGGTGGGAGCTCTGGATGAAACCGTGAGGATCTTATTAGTTTAGTACAGTTAATAGATTTGAATCTGGTAACCTACCTGTAAACAGTCATTTGACTACAAAAAATTATACCTTTTCTTGCACTTGTGAACAACCTACAGCAGTTTTCCGTAGGGCAACATGAGCATTTATCAGCAATATCTCAATTTTGAGGTACGCACAAGCGAGAAGGTTATGCATGTGTCATAATCAGACAGCTAATGGAGTAATGGAATCGTAGGGCGCCCCACACCTTCTTTGCTACCTCTACAGTTTCTTTATATTGATGGACCTTTCTTTATGTAGACTGATGGATTATGATAACTCTAGAAGACACAATCAAAGTACTTCCAAAAAGAGGACTCGTTTCAATTCTGATGATGGAAAGAGGAAACGGCTAAACTACAGGCAGGATGGCGGACATATGTCCTCTCAGCCAATAGAAACCGTTTACAGGATATTGTGCCCAGGAAAAAAGATCGGCGGTGTCTTGGGGAGAGGTGGTCATGTTGTTAAGGCCCTTAGAGACGAGACTAAAGCAAAGATACGGGTTGCTGATTCTATTCCTGGTGCAGATGAGAGAGTAATTATCATATTTGATTACCAAAATAACTCCGAACAAGCTAGTCAAAATATTTCTAATATTGATGGCCCAGAGAACATGAAGCCCCATTGTTTTGCTCAAGATGCGTTGTTGAAGATACATGATAAGATTGCTGCTGATGAAGATTCCAACGATGGAGTTACCTGTGAGAATTCTGAAACTGCTGGTGATGTGACTTCCCGAATTTTGGTTCCAGGCAATCAAGTTGGCTGCCTGCTAGGAAAAGGTGGCTCTATTATACAACAATTGCGAAATGATACCAGTGCAGGGATCCGGGTCTTACCATCCGAAAACCTTCCTCAGTGTGCACTTAAGAGTGATGAATTGGTGCAGGTAAATTTGTTTTAGTAGCAAAATATCCTTTGTTGTGTTGTGTTCCAACTTGTAATGCCTTTTGCTTGTATTGATCTCCAGGGACTTTTGTATTGGTTTTGTTTAGCTTAGATTTGGATTCATTACTCTACTGTATCATTTTATTTTACTATAGAAGTTCTCTGTTATGTTTATATTCTCTGTTAAATTCCTAAATAATTGGATTTTAGAGTTTGGTATCTGGCATGGGTTAATTGATATAGCATGTACTTCCTCCGTTCCTAAATATAAGTCTTTCTAGAGATTTCAATATGGACTACATATGGAGCAAAATGAATGAATCTATACTCTAAACCACGTCTATATACATCCGTATGTAGTCGATATTGAAATCTCTAGAAAGACTTATATTTAGGAACAGAGGGAGTAGTTTATTTTTAGATTATAGTTTACCAAGATATTTGCCAGTTCAGTTAAAATAAGATATCTGTCACTTACAACATGCTCTTTTTTGTGTGCTTTATTATCTTTAGACATGAATAATATTGATGCATAATTGCTTATATCATGTCAGATATCTGGTGCACCTTCTCTTGTAAGAAAAGCTCTCTACGAGATATCTACTCGTCTCCATCGGCATCCTCGTAAAGAAAATCCATCTCTTGAAGAAATTATAGATGCAAGCACACAAAGGAAGCGCGAGTCTCCACCACCGCTACCACATGAAAATCACATGTTACCACACCTGCATGTGGATCATCCACCACCAATGCCCTTGCTTGATCCATATAGAAACGGACCATTGCAATATCCTGTTCCTGAACCAGAAGAGTTTTCTATTAAAATTCTGTGCGCTTCTGAGCTTATTGGACCTGTTATTGGCAGAAGTGGGGCAAATGTTCGGCAGTTAGAGCAGCAGACTGGTGCTCGCATTATGGTTCAGGAATTGCACAAAGATGCTTCTGGAGAAAGGTTGATTGTTATTTCATCCAAGGAGGTAAGATGTAGATGGTTGTTTAAATTGCTATATCTCCTTATCATACCAATCTTCACAATTGAGTCCTCACAGTTTTATCTCCTATGTATTTTTTCAATCCAGATTCCGGCTGATCCAGTATCCCCAACAATTGAGGCACTTATTTTGCTCCATAGTAAAGTAAGTGAGAGCAAAGTAAGTGAACCTTCAGTAAGTGCACCTTCAGAAAGTGCACCTTCTGAGGAGCACAAATTGGTTACAAGACTTGTTGTACCATCAAAAAAAGTTGGTTGTATTATTGGGGAAGGTGGGAAGGTAATTACTGAAATGAGAAGGCGTATTGGGGCTGAAATCCGAGTTTATTCAAAAGCAGACAAACCAAAGTACTTATCTTTTCACGATGAGCTTGTGCAGGTGATTTATATTCAATTGTATCTGCATCAAGTTGTCCATATTGTTTCAATATATCTGCCTTTTTAATGTTTTTGTTTCTTGACTTGTTATTATGCTGTTACATGTGTTCCGAGCTTTCAGGTTTCTGGGTCTCCAGATATTGCAAGAGAAGCCCTCACAGAGATTGCTTCGAGGCTTAGAAATAGAATCCTCAGAGATGGAATTTCCTCTTTTGATGGTCCTCCTGCTGATATATTTCCTAGCAGGGATTTCACACTGTATGGAAGACCTGCCAATCCACCATATGGAAGGCTTGCCAATGATACCCCTTATGGAAGGCCTGCTAATGATACCCCTTATGGAAGGCCTGCTAATGATTCCCCATATCAAAGGCGGCTTGCCATTGATCAACCATACGGGCTTGCCAGTGATTCACTGTATGGAAGACCTGCCAATGATCCACTATATGGAAGACCAGCCAATGATCCACCATATGGAAGACCAGCCAATGATCCACCATATGGAAGACCAGCCAACGATGCATCATATGGGAGACCTGCCAACGATGCACCATATGGGAGACCTGCCAACGATACACCATATGGGAGACCAAACAATAAACCCCATGATTCAGTAGATTATTTCTCTAAAAGAAGAGAGTATCCTAGTGGAAGTCCATTTGCTAGCGACGCTCCACCATCTGCTTCTTATGATAGATATGCAGCATCTGCTCGCTTGCCTACTAGAGAAATGCCCTTGCCTGTTAGTCCTGGTGCTGATTATATGTCGCATCGTTCTTATCATGACCATATGCCTACTGATAGCTATTCTAGTAGAGGCATGCAGCAATTAGGCCTCTCAAGAGCTGGGAATAGTAATATGCAACAATTAGGCGTCACCAGAGCCGGAAATTCCAATGCTTATGATTACACTGAGGTACAGTTTAATGCGTCAGTTCCCCTGTTTTGCAAATGGCCCTCACCTCATAGTTTTCATTGGAAACCTGAAACTGTGTAGTGTATGCAATTTTTCCATAACTGGTTGGGATTCCTGAAGAGGGAAAAAAATATCCGTAGGTTTGCGTAGGTTATACTGATCTGCATTCATATCATTCTAGCTGTCACTTCTGTGCACTATAACTTGTTGATGTTCATTGTTTTCTTGATTGGTTGACGGTCTTTACTTATATTATCAACTTTCCTTGTCTGGCTCTGTTCATGCTGATTCACATGCGGACATGTGCATCTGAATATATTTGGTTCTCATTTGCTTCAGTGCTGAATAGATTCATATTTCACTCTTCAGGCTGCCGGGCAGATGCATGGACGTGAGGATTATCAAAGAGTGGCAGATGTTACAGGGTATGTTTTCGCAGCTCGTCTCCCTTCTGAAATGCTACGTGGGAATTGTCATTGAGAGATAATCCTTTTGGCAGGTATTCAAGTAGCTCTGTTGAACTGAGGATTCCAAATAGTTCTCTGGAATCTATTGTTGGAGCTGGTGGTGTCAATCTAGCAGAGATCCGCCAGGTACCAGCTATGCTCTGATCTTTCTGAACTACAAATGGGACTGCGTCATCCATTGAGCCAGTCTTCATTATTTTATTCCCTGTAATAGTTTAGAAGTTTTTCTCATGTATAAGTTCTCGATCTCAGATCTCTGGTGCAAGAATGAAGTTGCTTGAAGCCCGTCCTGGTTCTTCGGAATCCATCATGGAGATCCAAGGTATGCCGGACCAAGTGAGAGTGGCGCAGAGCCTTCTGCAAGGCTTCATTGGTGCCAACAGCCAGAGCGTGCAGCCATCCCAGTCTTCTCGCGACGTCCATTACCCAAGGTGGAACTAAACCCTAGAGGCTTGTTGTGAAGAACAACAGAACACCGTGCAAACTCCAGGTCGATTGCCAAGCTGCCACATTAACTAGGTTGAGCGGTGTAACTTAGATCATGTTTGTTGACCAAAATAATCTGGGCTTTGGTTATTTCCAAGGATGTACTGCTAAACGTGCTTGTTTTCTTAGTCTTTTTACCCCCTTTTGAGTGAAATACATCTGATGACAAGAGTTGCAAGTACTCTGTAGTCATTGTACACATGGAACCTGGATGGTTGAAGCTGTTGTTATATGCAGTGCTATTTACGAACTTCACACAGTCACATACTCACATCTGATTTTCTCCGAGACTGGCCTGACTCTTGCTATTTTGCTGATTGTGTTAGGAGGCCATAGTTTCGAACTTAGAATTCTGTTTGTAGCAGCAATTAAGCTGTTATTGGTTATTGCACTACATGAAACAACATTAGGTCTCCATTACCCTTTGTCAGCTTATATTATTGTCCATCACTAGACAATGCTTTGTGATTTGCTACCGAAAAAATGTATTGCTTTGTGCTCAGTAGTAACAATTATCTTGATGTATACATTTACCACATAATGGATGGCAATTAAGGTAATTTCCCGTTTGCCTTTGTGGGGTGAACAGCAAATCAGTCCATAACTGGGTTTCTAGGGCGAACATAAAACATTTAAATTTCATTATTAGTTTCAAAATATACATTTAAATTTCACAGATCATACCATCATCTTGAACCCTTTCTCCCGCTCATTTTGCAAAACGAATCTGAAGGTAGACAGTCATAAGGCTGCCTAAGAGTACATAATGGCACATGTGGAATTCCAAAAGATAAAAAGACCCGGTGAAAAGGCAAAAGAACCCAGTAGGGTAACTAATATTCAAACAAGTTTAACATTGATTCTTTTTCTTGAGCTTTCCTTGGCCAAAAAATAGCACAATTCTTCTAGCAAAGATCAAAGGCAGCATGGCCCTGGTCCTTGGCCTTTCCTCTTGAGTCCCAATATATGACACCTGCAAAACGCAACACCTTGTCTCTATGGTCATGTTATGCGTTAAGAAAATGCAACCCCTTAATAAATAATAACTACTCCCTCTGTCCCTAGTGTAGTGTAGTGTCAAAAAAAGCATCTTACATTATGGGACGGAGGGAGTACCATAAAATACTTCAAAGGCATTTCCTGAAGGCAGCAAGCATGTCACCCTTCTACCCCCAGTCGCACCAATCAACATCCTTTGTTCCTAAATATGAGACGTTTTGGTGGTTTGAACGCATCGGCGGCGCTGGGGGTATTCCTGGAACTTCCCTGGAATACCCAAGATTCTCGTGTAAAAAAATATACTACATGTATTATACGGTGATGATTTGGCCCATGACTCAATTGCAGCCCAAACTGCAACAGCGGCAGCCACGCACGAAGCGAAGGTATTATCCAGAGTCCACTTTCCACACACTCGTTCATTGAGCGGTTCATTGCCGAGCTCGATCTTCTACAGGATGGAAAGCAGACAACTTTGCAGCCAGCCCCTTGGGAGATGAGGAAGGCACATGCAAGACCAAAAGCTCCCCCGCAGGGGTATGCCAAGATACACACTGATGGAGCGGTCTATCGAAACCGGGGCGGCTCGGCCGTTGCTATCTGCCGAGATGATGCGAGCAACTATCTAGGGAGTTCCTCCCTGGTCATTGATGGACAGATTGATCCAGCCACTCTTGAGGCAATTGCGTCAGAGAAGCGTTGGCGTTCGCGGAGGATCTTCTTGTGCATGATCTTATTATTTCCTCGGACTGCAAGCAAGTTGTTGATGACATTATAAATGGAAACCAGGGGCACTACGGATCCGTCATCACAGAGATAAAACTTCGATCTACTAGTTGAAGGAAATATGCCCTAGAGGCAATAATAAAGTTATTATTTATTTCCTTTTATCATGATAAAAGTTTATTATTCATGCTAGAATTGTATTAACCGGAAACATAATACATGTGTGAATACATAGACAAACAGAGTGTCACTAGTATGCCTCTACTAGACTAGCTTGTTGATCAAAGATGGTTATGTTTCCTAACCATGGACAAAGAGTTGTCATTTGATTAACATGATCACATCATTAGTTGAATGATCTGATTGACATGACCCATTCCATTAGCTTAGCACCCGATCGTTTAGTATGTTGCTATTGCTTTCTTCATGACTTATACATGTTCCTATGACTATGAGATTATGCAACTCCCGTTTGCCAGAGGAACACTTTGTGTGCTACCAAACATCACAACGTAACTGGGTGATTATAAAGGAGCTCTACAGGTGTCTCCAAAGGTACATGTTGGGTTGGCGTATTTCGAGATTAGGATTTGTCACTCCGATTGTCGGAGAGGTATCTCTGGGCCCTCTCGGTAATGCACATCACTTAAGCCTTGCAAGCATTGCAACTAATGAGTTAGTTGCGGGATGATGTATTACAGAACGAGTAAAGAGACTTGCCGGTAACGAGATTGAACTAGGTATGGGATACCGATGATCGAATCTCGGGCAAGTAACATACCGATGACAAAGGGAACAACGTATGTTGTTATGCGGTCTGACCGATAAAAGATCTTTGTAGAATATGTAGGAGCCAATATGAGCATCCAGGTTCCGCTATTGGTTATTAACCGGAGACGAGTCTCGGTCATGTCTACATTGTTCTCGAACCCGTAGGGTCCGCACGCTTAAGGTTACGATGACAGTTATATTATGAGTTTATACATTTTGATGTACCGAAGGTTGTTCGGAGTCCCGGATGTGATCACGGACATGACGAGGAGTCTCGAAATGGTCGAGACATAAATATTGATATACTGGAAGCCTATGTTTGGATATCGGAAGTGTTCCGGGTGAAATCGGGATTTTACCGGAGTACCGGGAGGTTACCGGAACCCCCCGGGAGCTATATGGGCCTAAGTGGGCCTTAGTGGAAAAGAGAAGGGGCAGCCCAAGATGGGCCGCGCGCCCCTCCCCTCCCTTGGTCCGAATAGGACAAGGAGAGGGGGCCGGCCCCCCTCTCTCTTTTCCCCCCTCCGCGAATCCTATTCCAACTAGGATTGGGGGGGGGGGAATCCTACTCCCAGAGGGAGTAGGACTCCTCCTGGCGCGCCTCTCCTAGGCCGGCCGCACCCCCCCTTGAGCCTTTATATACGGAGGCAGGGGCACCCCGGAGAAACACAAGTTGATCCACGTGATCATATTCTTAGCCGTGTGCGGTGCCCCCTTCCACCATAGTCCTCGATAATATTGTAGCGGTGCTTAGGCGAAGCCCTGCTGCGGTAGTACATCAAGATCGTCACCACGCCGTCGTGCTGACGGAACTCTTCCCCGACACTTTGCTGGATCGGAGTTCGGGGATCGTCATCGAGCTGAACGTGTGCTAGAACTCGGAGGTGCCGTAGTTTCGGTGCTTGGTCGGTCGGGCCGTGGAGACGTATGACTACATCAACCAAACGCTTCCGTTGTCGATCTACAAGGGTACGTAGATCACACTCTCCCCTCTCGTTGATATGCATCACCATGATCTTGCGTGAGCGTAGGAATTTTTTTGAAATTACTATGAAACCCAACAGTGGCATCCGAGCCTAGGTTTTATATGTTGATGTTATATGCACGAGTAGAACACAAGTGAGTTGTGGGCGATATAAGTCATACTGCTTACCAGCATGTCATACTTTGGTTCGGCGGTATTGTTGGACGAAGCGGCCCGGACCGACATTACGCGTACGCTTACGCGAGACCGGTTCTCCCGACGTGCTTTGCACATAGGTGGCTTGCGGGTGACAATTTCTCCAACTTTAGTTGAACTGAGTGTGGCTACGCCCGGTCCTTGCGAAGGTTAAAACAACACCAACTTGACAAACTATCGTTGTGGTTTTGATGCGTAGGTAAGATTGGTTCTTGCTTAAGCCCATAGCAGCCACGTAAAACATGCAACAACAAAGTAGAGGACGTCTAACTTGTTTTTGCAGGGCATGTTGTGATGTGATATGGTCAAGACATGATGCTAAATTTTATTGTATGAGATGATCATGTTTTGTAACCGAGTTATCGGCAACTGGCAGGAGCCATATGGTTGTCGCTTTATTGTATGCAATGCAATCGCGCTGTAATGCTTTACTTTATCACTAAGCGGTAGCGATAGTCGTGGAAGCATAAGATTGGCGAGACGATAACGATGCTACGATGGAGATCAAGGTGTCGCGCCGGTGACGATGGTGATCATGACGGTGCTTCGAAGATGGAGATCATAAGCACAAGATGATGATGGCCATATCATATCACTTATATTGATTGCATGTGATGTTTATGTTTTATGCATCTTATCTTGCTTTGATTGACGGTAGCATTATAAGATGATCTCTCACTAAATTATCAAGAAGTGTTCTCCCTGAGTATGCACCGTTGCGAAAGTTCTTCGTGCTGAGACACCACGTGATGATCGGGTGTGATAGGCTCTACGTTCAAATATAACGGGTGCAAAACAGTTGCACACGCGGAATACTCAGGTTATACTTGACGAGCCAAAGCATATACAGATATGGCCTCGGAACACGGAGACCGAAAGGTCGAGCGTGAATCATATAGTAGATATGATCAACATAATGATGTTCACCAATGAAACTACTCCATCTCACGTGATGATCGGACATGGTTTAGTTGATTTGGATCACGTAATCACTTAGAGGATTAGAGGGATATCTATCTAAGTGGGAGTTCTTTAAGTAATATGATTAATTGAACCTAAATTTATCATGAACTTAGTACCTCATAGTATCTTGCTTGTTTATGTATGCTTGTAGATAAATGGCCCGTGCTGTTGTTCCGTTGAATTTTAATGCGTTCCTTGAGAAAGCAAAGTTGAAAGATGATGGTAGCAATTACACGGACTGGGTCCGTAACTTGAGGATTATCCTCATTGCTGCACAGAAGAATTACGTCCTGGAAGCACCGCTGGGTGCCAGGCC